TGGAAAATGTTTGTAAGGCAGGAGATATTTTGCCACTGATACCCAACCAATATTAATGTCACATAAAGCATAGCAGGCATGTACTTAAATGTCGCATCTTGATCGACTTTGTTTTTTTACCTACTTTTCAAAATGATATTTTAGCGAACATTCTACTATAATGAGGAAATGAGTATACATAATACAGCTTCAATATTAATTGAAAATGAGTAATTTCACACAGAAATCGGTTGGATCCTATATATTTTTTATGTCTCATAAATTTGTTCGTTATGTAATTCGTATTCGAATTATGTGATCGGCCACTTTCTCTGAGTATGAAAATTGCATCATTGTGTTTCTGTTCGTTTGTAGATCGGAACCAGAACATATGACATATGTCAACAAATATTTGAAAAAAACCGTGCCCAAGTATCAGTTATTTCTCTGAGTGGCGACGACAGATTTATAATTCCCATACATAATATATTATTATATTCCCTAGAACCGTTGCAGATTCTTTATATTTCGCGAAATAGATTTTTCCATTAAGAATTTCCCGAAACTGGGCATATTTCGCTATACGGTGCACGAATATTCCAGCCATAAAATTTTATTCGTCGAGGTTTTAGTGAATATTCCCAAAAGAAGGACTCCAGATCACCTAGAGTCGGGAAATTGGGACACTCAGCTCCTGAAGTTAACGGGAATAGCCGAGAAAATCGTTATAGCCGAAATCATTCCTATCTTCTTTCGAATGTGTTTTTCTTGAAAACAAACAATTCATACTAATTTGTCTGGTGGAAAGACGGCGCTGCACACGAAAGAGTTTAGTTCAATTCTGAACCAGACAATAAAGTAAATGTTGCTACAGTTATTACGATTACCTCAATTCTTTCATTGTTTTACGAGCATATTAGGGAAACTGAATTTTTCTTGAGTTATGGAACTGCCAATTAGAAACAATTATCTTTTTTTACATGATATGTTTCATGAGTTTTTAATTATATCAATTTAAATTTTTCGTGGAGAGGCAACCGCCCTAAAGGAAAATTTGAAGACAAAATAATTTTTATTTCTGAGATTGAATTCTCGCTTAACTCTTGGTGAAACATAATTGAATATGAAAATAAATTGAACTCTTGGCTCAATGTTTCACGATTCATTCAACAATATGAATAGTTAACATGTTTCAAGGCTCGAAACATGTTGACTATTCATATTGTTGAATAAATCGTGAAACATTAAGTCAAAAGTTTAATTTATTTCAATTCGATAAATTTAAGTCAGTTGATTGTATTGTATATAATACAGAATGTATTATTCGGAGAATATTGAAATATTTTCTCACAACACAATCTTTTCTATAAATACTCCAACTGAAATTCAGCCTAATGATTTCAGAAGAAAAGAAAACGAAATAAGGAGTACCGCAAGGAACTGTGTTGGGTCTGGTGCTGTACTATTCGCGATCTGACGATAAATGACGATTAGTTGATGAAATACTGTGGAATATATTTGTTTGCTAAAATCGAGGGGAATTTCTGGATATGCGCTTCTTATTTGAAATTATCAATAATTTGATTATTTCTCCCAAAATCCTAGGCGATATAAAATTGTATGTCCCTCTGAGAAATATTCGAAAATCTCTTCTTCTTTCAAACGATATTTTTAGTAGTCATCATAACCAAAATTCAGCTTACAATAGAATGGTCAAACTGGGAATTTGATTAATCTTACATGTCTTCACGTTCATTCAAGACCTATTTGAGATACGTAATATTGGAAAGAATTCTATGATATCTATAGTGGCCAGTTATCCTGAAAAAATCTATATTTTATGATGTTCGATGTACTACCTTTATTTTCCATAATTTTTATGGTTATAAGAATTGCTATTGCTATTTAATCTCTTTGTTTTTATGTTGTTCTAGCCCCACTATTTAGATAAATATTATGAAACTTATAATGTTATAAGTTTTATTTAATTGCTAATTAAGTGTTGAAATATATAATTTACAATTATATATTCAAGACAAACTAGCTAATTTACGCTTAAATATCTTAAAGTCACTCAATGTTTCTATGGAGCTAGGCAATTTATTAAATGCGTTGAATTCTTCACAAAATATACTATTTCTAAGTTTAGAAATCTTTCAAACTAGCTTGTGGAAATTGTCAGCATTTCTTGTATAATAATCGTGCACATCACTAACACATGTTTCATTTTTTATTACTCATTATGGAAACAATTTTTTTTAAATTTTGATTATAATTATATATCCAGCAAAAAGTATTCTCTGTAACCGAGATTAGTTCAAAACAATTAAGCATGCTTACATTTTCAAAATCTATTGCATTTCAAAACTTTTCGCATCGCTCTATTCTGTAACTTTTCTAGCTGTTGAGTTTTTGCTTTACTCAATTCCTATAACAAAGTGGAACAATATTCAAAGTGTGGTATTAATTTTGACTTGAAGAGCTGTAACTCCATATATGTCCATATATTACCTCAAGAATTTCACTTTTACCAAAAACTATAAATTTAGACTTTGTTACAATCAGCGATAAACTGTTATAGCTCAGCTATTGATTTAGCGTCAATAGCGTCTCTACTGATCCATTCTGTCATAATCTGGATATTTTTACCACTATTATAAATAATTTCAATATCTGCGAACAATCGTATAGAGCATTCTCTTACATGAAAAACAATATCATCAATATATAATGAGAATAGCAGTGGACCTGAGACCGTACCCTAACGTACCTCGAAATCAACTCCAATGCTGTCCGAAAGTACACCAGTGAACTTGACTTTTTGAGATCGTGAATGTAAAAAAGAATTGAACTATTCGTTTAATAAACCTTCAAAACAAATTTAATTTTGTTTTTCAACTGCAAAACCTGGGGTACTATAAAATATGGAATACTATTTCTTCAATCTAGAGAATGGAATAAGTAAATCGCTAATTATTCTGGTATCTTACGAATCTATATCGTTATTCAACTTTTAAACAGTTGATATTTATGAGTATATGTTAGGGCCTCGAGAACCAATATGTCTGAAAAAGTCAAGATTTGTTTTCGGGACGACATTTTGCAGCAATTTCGATATTTGACATTATCAATTATCCGAGCCGCCCGCCTCTTCAACCTGAATATTCTTTGGAAGCCACCAAAGTCTCACCATGACTCAATTCCGTACCTAAGATGTGATTCACGAAGTGCATAATATGCTGCTTTCAGCATATCCTACGAAACAGAAAATGACAAACTGAGCAAAACAAAAAGGGTGTCTTTTTTAGAGTTATAGAACTTTAAATTGCAATGAAACAACGACGAATCATTCGATTGACAAAATTCTTCTTCTATTCCGAAGATAATTTTATGGCATTACATTTTGAGTATGATTCCTGGCATATGACCGCCACGGCTGGCTTGGATATAGTCCAATCTGGACGTCCAATTTTCGATGACTTTTTACAACATTTGTGGCCGAATATAGGCAATAACACGACGAATATTGTCTTCCAAATGGTCAAGCAATTGTGGCTTATCCTCATAGGCCAATGACTTCACATAGCATCACAGAAAGTAGCCTAGCGGTGTTAAATCACAAGATCTTGGAAGACAATTCACAGGTTCAAAACGTGAAATTAGGCGATCAACAAACGTATCTTTCAATAAATCGATTGTGGCAGGAGCTGTGTGACATGTTGCGCCGTCTTGTTGAAACTACAGCTCCTGGACATCATGGTTGTTCAATTCAGGAATGAAAAAGTTAGTAATCATGGCTCTATACCGATCACCATTGACTGTAACGTTCTAGCCATTATCGTTTCCGAAGAAGTACGGACCAATTATTCCACCAGGCCATAAGGCGCAACAAACAGTCAGTTTTTCTGGACGTAACGATGCTTTGACATATACTTGAGGATTATCTTCACTCCAAATGAGGCAGTTTTGTTTGTTGGCGTAGCCATTCAACCAGAAGTGCGCTTCATCGCTGAACAGAATTCGCTTTTGAACATCGGGAACTACGGCAATCTCGTTTTGGGCCCATTCGACGAATCTACGCCTTGCTTGATGATCGTGAGTCTCTCCATCATGAATTGCCAAACCAAACTGAGAATGAATCACTTTTTAGCTGTTAAATCGGTCTCCATCTTCAACAGTAATGACAACTTAAAGTTCTATACTTCTGAAAAAACAGCCGTTGTATATACTTTCCTAGTTTCGAGCATAAACATTCAACATTCCAGTTAAATCTGGAGTCCAGGTGCAATCCAAGGAACTTGCGGTTTTCCGTTTCAATGCGCTTTAGGGAGAAAATAACCTTCTCGGTCTTCTTACTATTCATACACTGGCCATTTCCTGAGCACCACCTCAAAGCACTAAAGTTTATATCATAAAACAGGCGATAAGCCCCAAAACATCCCTAAAAGACACTGATGTAGTTGAACCATCGGCAACAAATATGAAAACATCGAGACAAGCAATCTGGAGAGTCATTTATGAATATTAAAAAACGTGGATCCAGAATATGGCACTGAGAAACACCAATGCTGATATTTGAATTTTTTGATCAATTGTTTTTCACTAAAACTCATTGTTTTCTATCATTCAGAAAAGATCTCATTATAACAACACTGCTTCAACTGAAACCATACCGGCCAAATTTCCATAAGAGAGTATAATGTGGCACACAATTGAATGCCTTGGTCAAGTTAATGAAGAACATGTTATGTTCAAGTGAACGTAAGCATTATTTCCATATTTCAAATGTTTCGTTTGTACGATTGTTCAGTATTTCAATGGCCATTCAGACGAAATATTTATGCATGAAAAAGATATGCATTTAAATGCACAATATGGAAATATTCACGTGTACCTCATACAAATCGAATTTTTTCATGATAATTAAGTGCAATTAAACGCCAATTCTCAACAGTTCGAAATTACTGTGAGAATCGAACTTACCAGCTCCAGTCAGACGAATGTGTTATAGGTTCGCTCGCTTCTTTCTGTGAGGATTGAACACACGTCTTCTGGTTTACAAGATCAGCGCTCTGCCACTGAACTAAAGAGGTAAAATGTTCATTCCTTGAAAGCTTTGAGTATGACAAAATGAAGAGATCATAACAATATCGTTACAACACTGTGCAGCGCAAAGAAGATCACTGCTATATTTCACTACAAGAGGCAAAGACTTTAAATTCTCATCTCATGGCCTTAAATTAAGAATGGTGAAGCTATATATGGGTACCAACTTTATTCGAGGATTTCAATGGAAAATATCACCCAAAAAGTGAAAAGTCTATGCTCCATGTACTCGTACATCCACAAACGTAGGCAAATACAAAAAAGCCGCAGAGACTATTTTCTATTTGAGCACGTTATATCATATGAAGCTTTCGTCTTTTCGAAGCATAGTAGGGAATTTGATATGCCTGTTTTTCATTGGCCCTGAAAATGACAACCTCCGGCGGAAATGAAGACGCAATTCATAAAAAAGGTGGTGAAAAAGGCTTCACTATTTACAATGCGTTTCTCTGTACGCTCGACGAAAATTCCTGTATAATCAAAATTCGATCTTGCTATCAAACAGTCTTCTCCGCCATACTATCGATCAAAAAGAAATCAGAAACCTATTAAGCCGAACCAAATAAATTGGCTCTAGTTCGCTGCTTCTTTGCTTCAGCGGGAAAATTAATTAAAAAATGTTAATTCGGTCTAAGCTCTAAACTTTTAATTATGAAACGCCACGCTCCCTTGTATTAATTTGAATGCTCCATTGACGCTTATTAAATGCTTGATAATGATCCCTCTATTCAAACGACCTCTTCGAAAAGTCTATTCTGCAAGAATGTGAATCTTCTACCCATAATAAATTTCAGAACAACAGGAGAAAGAAAAATAAAAAAAAATTTCAATCGTTTTACCTTGAATGTGTTTTCTCGATATTCAACAAGTTTTACCTCTTCATCTGTTGAAACAGTATCCATGAAATGACAACATATTCATTATCTATCTACCACTAGATTGTATGGACCATATTCATTCAGTGTGATTATGACTTAATTTCACATTCTCGAATAGTGCAAGGTATGAAAGAATCATATCGTTTGGCATAGTAAAAACTCAAGTATCTAAATACCTCAAAACCGAGACCATTGGTCTCGGTTTTCATCTAGGAACATGTTCCCAATTATCTGGTTATGAAACCATATATCATTAATGGAAGTTCTCTTCTGGAGCTCCCAAAAGACCACCTACAATTTGAAGGACGATTGAAATTTAAATTTTGAAGGAAGAAAGAGATGAAAAATCCGATTAATTCAGCACCTTGTTATCTATAGATTGACGTTCTTCACTGTGTATGGGACAAAAGTAAAAGATGTTAAATATGGATATTATTAATTTTTTTTCCAATGATATTCTGAAATGCGAACCCGGACGAGTACGATGTGACCTTGATCGCGAACAACCAAGAAGAAATTCAAAATAATTAAAACCAATGGTGGTAATGTGGTCTTCGCATTAGTAGAACCAAAACCGAATACATGGTTTGCAATATAGGGACAGAGGAACCTAGCCTGGTGAACGTAGAAATAAAACTTGCAGGCATCGCTTTACCTAGAATAAAACAGTTTGAGTATCTTGGAAACTTGATTTTTCATTTGACATAATGCCTAAATATTTTACTGTTTCTACTCTTCTGATATTTCGTTCATTAATCTTTATAATTATATCCTCATTTTCAATGGTTTTAAGGGTTTTACTTGTACCCAAAACTATGAAGTTAAAATTTTTGCACATTCAGAGATTAGCTTTTGTCACCTAACCATTCAATTGCAGAAAGGTCCCTATTGATCCCCTCTGTCATATTCTTAATATCGTTGCCACATATATAGAGCATATTATCATCAGAGAATGAACGTTTAAAACATTTTTTCACGTGAAAGACAATATCGTTTATATATAAGGAGAGCAACAGCGGACCCAAGACAGTTCCTTGAGGTACGCCTTCATCCAATTTCGTGCTATCCGACAACATGCTATTAAACTTAATTTTTTGTTTTCGCCAATCCATGTAAGATCCAATCATATACTACTCCCTCAAAGCTGAGTATATTCAGTTTTTTCAATAATAATGATCTATATAAAGCTTTTAAAGCTTTTTTAAAATCCAATAATACTACTATAACCGTTTCTTCTTTAGCTTAAATTCAACAAACTATTCGCAACATAATAAGTATGTACAAAACCTGAAGGCTACTTCATCTTCAGATGAAGTAGAGGATACGTAGCATGTTGAAGTAAAAATGACAGTAATCTTGTTCAAGGCACGTTAGTATTCAAACTTCTCCTCAGGTTCAGGTCTAGGGTATGTCGGATTTGGCGGGATATAAACTTCGCGGACGGAACTGTTAGAGGCAAGAGGGTGCGGAGTTAGTAACTAATTTAATTTCATCGACAGGGTGGCATGATGGATTTGACATACTTGTTAGTTATGCATGTAGCGTATGCGTCCTCATATTCGCAAAGTGGAAACAAGATTTTCTTATGAATTGCCCTCGCGTTGCCTCAATGCGAGGTAGGCTGATGTTGGTTAATTCGATTCCACCATCCGAGTTCATTCAACTGAAAGTGTGATCCTATTGTGATACGATTAAAACGTACGTGGATAGGACGACAGATTCATCAAGTTTATTGTGTTGAGTTTCAAGAGCTATGACCAAGTTAGTAACTGTAATATGAACGTGTTGCGTTTCCGATGTAACGCGACGTGTTACACTTCATTCAAAAATTGTATAGGTTTATGATTGAAGCGCCCTTGCAGTTTATTGTGTGCTTGTTCTGCTCTGAAACGCCATCACGAAAATTTGAGTTTTCTATAATATAAACATCATTTTTTCCAGACAGATTCTACGTGGTGTTTATGTCGACATAATTTTTGTGTAGCATATTCTTATATGTTCAAAGTATGCTCTTCAATACTCATTTTTTCATTTTGTCTTTATCGATTTTGCAAAACGAGTAATTTATTCATGTAACTGAAGGCAGTCATAGGAAACCTGCGCTGTGCCCTCATTAAAATGAACCATGACAATAGTAATAGTTATGAGAAATATTTTCAGTCTATTTCGTTGAAGCTCAAGCCATGTCTTCACCATAGAAAATTTTTTTAGAGGAATATATTTCCATAGAAAATTTTTTTAGAGGAATATATTTCAATATCGACAACAATTATTGTTGAAATATACATACAGAGTGAAATGTTACACTAGGTGGATTTTAAAATGCCCTCAAAAGTATGAAGCAATTCATTATATGATATCATTTTCAATACTGAAAAATGTAAGAAGTTAAAAACGTCATAATTACTGAAATTCAATAGTACTTCAAATCAAACAAGGCTAAATTTTTCGAAACTAAATAAATAATCATTCAATAGCTCTACTCTAATTGATTCTATTCCTCTGGCTAATTCCTTGAATTCATTATTGGATCTGTGACTCATCACACGATATTATGTGAATGCCAAATTGATTCTTTTTTGTCATATTCTATTTCATATTGAAATAATAGCTATGGTATGGGAATAAAATATGAAGTTCTACCTGCTCAGAATATCACAGTCAAACCAATCTTCTTTATCTCTCGAAATTGTAACATTTTGGAACGTGACTGCGTTCTCGGAAGTGACAGGTTTCGTCTTCATTTATGTTATTTTGAAATATTTTAGTGAATAATACTCATATGCTATTTCATATTGAGATAAGAGCTATGGCATTGAAATGAAATATAGAGTTCTAGCTGCTCAGAATATCACAGTCAAACCAATCTTCTTTATCTCTTAAAATTTTGACATTTTGGAACGTGGCTGCGTCCACGGAAGTGACAGGTTTCGTTTCCATTTATGTTATTTCAAAACATTCTAATGATTAATACTCATATGCTTATTCACATTGACATAATAGCTATGGCATTCGAATAAAACATAAAGTTCTAGCTGCTCAGAATATCACAGTCAAACCAATCTTCTTTATCTCTTGAAATTTTGACATTTTGGAATGTGGCTGCGTTCACGAAAGTGACAGGTTTTGTTTTCATTTATGTTATTTTAAAACATTTTAATGAATAATACTCATATGATATTTCATATTGAGATAATAACCATGGTATTGGAATATAATATAAAGTTCTAGCCGCTCAAAATATCACAGTCAAACCAATCTTCTTTATCTCTTGAAATTTTGACATTTTGGAACGTGGCTGCGTTCACGGAAGTGACAGGTTTCGTTTTCATTTATGTTATTTCAAAACATTCTAATGCATAATAGTCATATGCTATTTCATATTGAGGTAATAGCTCTTGTATTGGAGTATAATATAAAGTTCTACATGTTCAGAATATCAGAGTCAAAACAACCTTCTTAGTCTCTTGAAATTTTGACATTTTGGATGTGGCTGCGTTCACGAAAGTGACAGGTTTTGTTTTCATTTATGTTATTTTAAAACGTTTCAATGCATAATACTCATATGCTATTTCATATTGAGATAATAACTTTGATATTGGAATATAATATAAAGTTCTAGCTGCTCCGAATATCACAGTCAAAACTACCTTCTTCATCTCTCGAAGTTTTGACATTTTGGAACGTGGCTGTGTTCACGGAATTGATACGCTTCGTTTTCATGCATTTCATTTCGAGACATTTCAATGAATTTCATCAAAATGAAACTCATTTTTCCAGAGGAACTCAATGCTTTAGGGTGAGTCGGACCTACAGTTTAACCGTGGGAATCGAACCCACCAGCACCAGTGAGTCGAAAGCGGTATAGATTGCTTGGACTGTGTGCATTGCCTCGTCATTTTTAGCACAGCATTTTCAGAACGGCAGCTGTTCGCCGTTGAACAATGGGTCGTGGGTGGCAAAAAAACTCACCAAAAATCTCAAAACTGAAATAAATTTGGGAACCACTTGATTTTCAAAAAGCCAGATTATTTAATCTGATCTGAACCAAGAAAATATCTACTCTTGTATCTTAATAATGGAACCTTCTGACGAATAAATAATTC